ATGAGTAGCACCAAAAAACTAGAAGTAGATGCGATGCTAATTCATAAGAAAAGCCATGCCATCTCTGGTCAGTTGGAAGTAAAATGAACCTTTAGGGGTTGCAAATAATACGCTCTAACATATTGAAGTTAGTGTACGTGCTGCAGCAAGAGCAATATCGGTAAGTAAATGTAGATAGGATAATCTCCTCTTTTCTTGTTCTCATCTCATCTGTTTTCCTTTACAATTGTAATTTAAACTTTAGGGGGTCAATTCTGTCTGTTGTTGCTGTTTCCTTGGAGGCGGTTTTTTTCTGTCCTTATTTTGAAACCTACAGAAGGTGTTATTAAGGAATAAGGGGTAGGAGAAGACTTCAAAAAAGGTGTTAATTAATGAACAAGGGCTAGAAAAGGAATTCCGAAAGTTGAGTATTTTTCTTAGTCAAGAGAACAAAAGGCTCTTTCTTAACAAGCCCTTATTATTTAGAGATTGGAAGGTGCTCTATTAATGAGCCATTCTCCTCTCTCCCAACAAACCAATAACAGAATCCAACCAAGGAGATATTTGGTATCCAATTGTTATGCGTGACTCCAGATTCCTAGATCCCTACACAAACAATTTATTGGGTATGCAATGTAGGATAAAGAGAGTTTATACTTGGAGAAAATTTATTTGTAACCAAGAATTGGAGATCTGGAATTTTACTAATCAAACCAATAACTTAATGTTTATATGCAATAATATGAACAGTCTATTTCATAACTAAGAAAAAGTACTATATTTATAGGCATCATAAAACAACCACAACAGAAATTCTTAAATATATCTAGCAATTCTACTAAAATAGGAAAACAAGCTAATTAATTGAATAACTTATCAAATAATAACTAAATATAATCCTAACTAAATAAGAAATAATAAACTCATACCATAACAATTCCATAGATACTAATTCCTAAATAAGCTAAAAACACCTTCATGATACACAAGCATTACAATTCCATAAATATAGCTTAATGTTTAAATATGTCTACTTCAATATCTTTTTGTTCTGCATATCATTCTACCCCAGTTGGTGAAAATTCGACCTTAAACTTTGAAATGTGAAGTAGAAAGAATACCAAAGTTAAAACTTATTTTCCTAACAACTAAGCTTGCAAACTTGACATGAGGAAACAAGAATCCTTGAAAAATTAAGGATTCTAAAGGTATAGTGAACCAATTAGGAATTACCAAACCAACATAAGGAAGATAGTCAAACTTTCCTTGTGTTGTTAGAAAACAAAGAACTTTTGGTATGGTATCATTAGGCGAGGTCTCTTTGTTCTTAATCAACAAGAACATCATCATTTTCAACCTCCCAACATCATTGCTTATCATTAAAATTGAGAGACCCATCGCTAGGTGACTTAATTTGTAAATATAAATTACATCCTTTACAATTCATCTCATTGTCTTATCTGTTAACTTGTATAATTAGTTGGATGGTCTGGTGATCTCCTTGGTTACCTCATTTATAACTTACTCTCATGGGTTGGATCATCAATAAATAGTGACATCATCTTGCTCATAGGAAAAGATAGGTAGTCGCATACGTTGGTCAGTTACATCACTAAAATCCTACAAGAGAATGACTGATATTTAT